TTAGATTTTCAGTACAAATCGGCAATTTCATACTTTAACCCCTATTACTAATCTTGAAGTCACGTGTGACGAATTTTGTTCAATAGCTTCAATCTCAAGTGACTAGAAAGTGCTGGATGGTATTTCTAGTAAATTAATATAAAATAAAATCTTACAATTTTGTTCCTTTTCATCTACCATTACCACTGTCTAGCAGTAAGTATCAATAGATACTGTGCAAATTTTATAATAATTGACTAGGTAAGTATTACATCTGCATAACCCAAATTACCTGCTTACCTATTTAATCCCAATTATGCGAGTAGACCGTCGGTAAAACTAACCCAAATGAGCATGGAAAAAAAATGTTCTTTACACCTGCCTTGGTTGCCTAGCAACGTGTTGTTATTAAACATTCTATGTCGAATTTGGCTAGAACATAGGATTTTAGTGCATTAAACATATTAATATTATTTTTTTATGATACCAAGTGACAAAACGCACTAGTTGTGCTCCTGGTGGTAAGCGACACGCCTGTCCATAACAGTTGTAGTGCCACTCATCCCAAAGATCTGAGGCGCACTGCCACAGCGCCTGTCATCCTGAGATATAAGTTGACAAGTCCCATTTGCCTGTAATTTCACCAGCTTTATTATTATTATTGAACGTTACTAGTAAACGAGATATCTACATTTTATCTCAAATATGTCGGACGACATGTCGGCTAACTTCACCATCTTAATACGACCACAAGACTTGCCTTTATATGTTAACTCTAATGTTAACTTTTTGTAACTCGTGAATTTTATATTGCCAGTTGACTCTTTGTCTAAAAAATGTTTCTTGTTCAGCGAATAACATGTGGACAAGATCATTATCTCGGCCACATGTTATTAAGCTTTTTGAATAGTTCCTTTTCAAGATTCTCAGTATCGATATTGTAATCGATTAATAGTGGATCACTCAATTTAATCTTATACCCCATCACTAGCGTCATTTCTTATGTCAGACTTTTTTATCTGTGGTGTCGTATCCCGAAGCGATAGCGTTATGTGTTTTATTCGTAATATTTTACGAGTTGGTGTTAATTTCATCATATTTAAATATTAATCATGTTTAGCGATAAATATATAACGGTAAAAGGTAAATATTTTGTACATATATTGTGGTAAAAGTTTGGTGATGATTTTCCTTGCCCGGCGGACGAGCACCACGCGATTTGATAGATTTTGATGATCAATACAAACAATCTCACCTCCATAACGTTGCTAATTCCGCAAAATGTAATTCCCAAATGTGCTAATCTATATTTATTACCAGAAACATGTGTTTAAATTTGTGTCATTTGAAAGTTGAATTGATGGCTTTTGCGCATCGTGAATCTGTAGTCGAATTGTATTGCTATGACCTAGACATAAACACCAACAACAAACCGTAAATAAGTATATATATGTTGGAGAGTAGGTAACTAAAATATTCTTTTAATTAGAATAGCAAGACAGCCTTTGTATTTGCAGTGTGTATGTACATATTGCATACTCATTTGAAATACCCTAATGTTCAAAAATTGTTTGATAATTATTTCAAGTTTATATGAATGCTTTACTTTTATTTTAAACTGATTCACATTGCTAGTTTGGGACAAAATTATGACTAGATAGATGTTTGATTCAACTATCATTGCGTTTAATTAAAATGTCATACTTTGTTCCAGATGGAAGTAGAGAAGAGATCAGCCATAGCTCATTACAGGGAATTGTTACTTTGAATTGTCGAACAATCAGAATTGGTTCCTACAGATACACACCAAAAGAAAAGGTATACTTTTATTATCTATGTCAGCAGTTCCTAATCTGTGGTCTTATAACAATAAACTAATATATAACAAAGAATTTGGTTGCCAAAAGCATTTTTTATTATTGATATTTTTATTAGAGGGTGTAAAACCCTTTGCTGGAGAAGGTTGTGAACCCCTGCTATGATAGTACTTTAAGGGTCGTATTCTAGAACTCTACTCCTTAAGTCAGGATTTGAGCAGACTTGAGTACGATTTCAAGCACTGGAAATATGACCCTAATGGCAAGGACTTGAGTATGATTTTTAGTGCTCACTGCAATACTCAAGTCCTAACTTGAGTATTGAATAGAGTTCTGGAATACAACCCCAAGTCACTCAAGAATTCTATATATCCATACTTAGTACATGTCAAATAATTCCTGGTGTTGAATAAACATGTATGTGTAGAAAGAATAAATATAGTGCTCACAGTTTGTTTCTACTTCAGGTATACATATCATCAAAAGGTATCAAAATAGTGGCTCCAGTCCTAAAAAACGAAACAAAAGAAGTTGCACTACAGATACAATTACGTGAAATTGTTAAATTGTTGGTACATTTTGGGAAAGGACTACCGGTTATATTTCTCTACACAGTTAACAAATGTGGTGCCTACATTAGGAAAACATTGGAAATGACTGAGCAATCTGGTTTGTAGTTCCCTTGCCTTATAACTTTTCTTATCATCACTTCTTTTATGAAAAATGTTGTTGTGTGAAAGGATGTCCACTTCCAAGTTCTTTTGTCTAAATAATTCATATTTTATTTTAGGGCCATACTACAATCCCATGTCAAAAAATGATCCATACAAAAGAATAACACTTCTACCAGAATCAATAACTGATGAAGCAAAGATGACAATGAAAAATTTATTTGGCATTAAAATGGATGAATTGAATTCACGAGAAGCGAATGATATACTTGTGAGAACATGCCCTAAAGAAAACAGCACTGTCACTAAAATGGCTACCAGATCATCAAGCACTGGAAGTGCTTCTGGTGCAAAAAGGTTTATTTTCTTTTTAATTATGAAATACATGCAGTTTTCTTAAAATTAAATTGCAAAATATAAATTAAACTGCTGTTAAGCAAATTTAATAATGTTTATCTTTATTTCAGCGCAAACCCAGCAGAAATACGACAGATCTTAATATACCCACCTGGTAAAGGAGGTATACCTATAAACACTGAAGATTACATGTGCCTAGCTCAGGATCAATTTCTAAATGACGTTATAATAGACTTTTATTTAAAATACTTAGTACACGATATTTTAACAAGCAGCCAGAGAGAAAAGACTCACATATTTAGCACATTCTTCTACAAGAGATTAACTACTAAACCCAGCAAAGTGAACAAAAGTTCAAATCCTCACGAATGGGACAGTAGCTTGACGCCAGCTCAAAAACGTCACGCCAGAGTGAAAACATGGACAAAGAATGTGAACATTTTTGAAAAAGACTATATTGTAGTTCCTATTAATGAAAATTGCCATTGGTTTGTGGCAATTATTTGCTTCCCAAGCTTAGAGGGGTGCAGAAGTATGATTGACAACCGCATTGTGTCACCACAAGAAATTAAGAAAAGAGGTGAGCAAGAGATTACTATAAATACTTGCACACATATTTATGGTCCAGACAGCAGCACTTCAAGCTACAGAATGATGGATGTTGTTGCACTGGAAGCGATATTCAAACAAAAGCGTATAACAGCGTGCTGTTGCATACATCCAAATATATTATGGACAATGGATTCAGATTTTCTAAGTTTAGACCTGTCTGTTCATTCATGACAAATTCAACTTTATTTTCCAGAACGCCGATCTTCTATGCAAATAGGCAATACCACAATCACTCCTCTAAACAAACAGGAGCAACTTACATTAAATTGTGACTCTGATAATCTCAGTGAGCGAGATGAAGCTGAAGCTGATGTAAGATTGAGAAGAATTTTTTATTTTATTACTTTTAAGATCACCTATTCTCTAAGAGAGTTTGGGATAAAAAAAAATGCAGCCAGAGATGCATATTTTTTATTTGGCAGTAGCATAAAAAGAAACTTTTATCATTTTGCAGGAAGGCTTGTATGTTTTTTTTATAGTTTTAACTGTTTTGGGTAGCCAAACAGCCTATTCTTCATTAAAACTATGTAAGGCTGGTTTCACAGCTATGCGTACGGCCTGTATGGACTGTCCGCCTGCGGGTCATCCACATGTGTAGAATCCACAGTGCTCTGAATCGAGTAGTTAATTTAGTGCGGATATTCACGGAACATAGTCGCCTACAATGATTACACGGGTGGCATGTGCGGAGTTCACACGGAGCGTGTTCCGTATGGGGCAATCCGCGTCACTGTAAAACGGTGCTCTGACGCCACACATATAACTCCGCGCGGACGGTCCACAGATAAATCCGCACTACTCTGAAACCAGCCTTAGACATTCAACAGAAATATGGAATAAAAGATATAATGTTATCCCTAAATTGTAAAAAACAAACTTTATCATAATATATACATATTGACGCTGGAAAGGTAAAACGTCTAACATGCACTTGGAAAATATTACAGGAGAATGATTTAAAATATTTTTTTAAGAAGAAAAATCATACAGCTCTAATATTATTTGTTATATATGTGGAAAAGCTGAAACTTGTTAGTTTTCCATATAACAAATAAAATTAGTTATTTTTTTTTTTAATAAATTGCTTTTAATCCTCTCTCCTGTAATATGTTCCAAATGCACAGTGGACGTTTTACCGTCGGACTTTTCAGATGTCGTCGAAAGTGATAGAGATATGAACTGTCCATGACCGACATGAAGTTACAGGCACAAGGCACTTGTCAAGTTATGTCTCAGGGTGACGGGCGCAGTGGTAGTGCCCCTCAGATCTTTGCGATTTAAAGCTCTGAGTGGCACTGCAACTGTTATAGATTACCATCACGCGCACGACTTATTTGTCCCGTCACTTGATATTATAAAAAAAAACATAAAACATGATTCTTGTGAGTCTATGACTATTTTACTACAATCCTGGTTATGGTTGGACCTTTGCTGTCATAAAATATAAATCTATACATTTGGTATGCTCCATAAGTGTAGTAATATTTTCTTGTCCTAAAATGTATCTTTAAAGTAGAACCCTTTAATTTTTAGGAAAGTGACTTGGATATGCAATGTGATTCTGAGGAGGAAGAAGTCGAAAAACCCAATATAGAGAAAAAAACAGAAGTTCAAACGCTACCGAAGAGTGAACCTATTAAACAGTGTGTATTTTGTAAAGTGCATAATTTTTTGTATTTTTAAATGGCAATACTATCTTTGGTTTTTTTATTGCAGGCCTTGTATTTTAATATTTGATTCACTGGCTGGAGCCTCAAGATCGAGAGTGGTGGCCACGCTACGAGACTATCTGACCTGTGAATACCAAGCAAAAGTCAGTTGAGATTTCTTTTCCTTTGGAATAATATTATTGAACTATTTTTATTTTGAGAGAGAATATCAAACTCTTTGTGGTTTACAGGTATCTACAAACAAAATATTTAACAAGGATAACATCAAGGGAAGTTGCCTCAAAATACCACAACAAAACAATTTTACAGATTGTGGATTGTATTTGTTACAATATGTTGAACAATTCTTCAAGGTAATGTTTAATTCTCCTATACTATAAACTTAACATTTATTTACAATTCTTTTGTAAACTAAATCTGAAATTTTCTTTCTAGGACCCAATAGTAGATTATTCCCTGCCAATAAAGCAACTGTCAAATTGGTTTGATGAAATTGTGGTCACAAGAAAAAGAGAAGAAATCTCGGAATTGTTGAAGGTTTTGATGCACAAGTATAATCCAGACTCGCATTTGACTTTACCTGATATCACATTCCCCACATTAAATGGTATGTTGATGATAAACTAAAGTAATTCTGATTGATTTTAATTTAATTAATATAAATTAAATTGCCAAAAAATATTCTGTAACACTCGTTTCTGAATATGTCATTAGTTGTTTCAAATATAATGTTTCGTCTATGTTGTACAGGTAAATTGATCGAAACTGAGGAGCAAGACGATGCGTCAGAAAATGAAAAGGGAAATTTAAGTACGAGCAAAACAAAGGATGGAAAAGAGTCTGATGGACCAACTCTAACCTTTGTTAAACAAATGCCCACTGGCGACATCGTTGTAAAGCGCAGTTTCGGCGACTCCTCTGATACAATACACTTGCGGAAAGCTGTTCGCCTCTCCACAGATTTAGAAAATAGATCTATGCTTCAGATCAAACCAGAATTTATCAAAAAAGGAGAGAATGAAAATCAAATTCTGATTCCCATAAAGTTGCACACAACAAGTGAATTGGTCAAAGACATACAAAATACGCTAATAGTTAATAAGAATAAAACTTTGGGTGATAAAAAACAAGGTGTACATAATCAGAATGTATCAGGTGTGAATTGTGTTCGTCAGAGTATGAGTGAAAGTGATAGTAACTCATTCTTGAAAACAAGGAAAATAAGCAAGCTGGAAGATGTGGTGAATGAATCAAGCAAAAAGTTCAAGAGGAATGAATGTTGAGAGAATGGCTTGTCCAAATACCATGTCTATTAAATTATTATTAATTATTGAAAGTGTATAGCTGTTCTTATAGATTTGTAAATATTAATTGTAATGGTAACTATAACATGTATTTAATACTGTATTCTATTTTATAATGTAAAGTTAAAGTTTTACTCGTGTATTATAGCTTCAACAAAATACAGAAATGAAAGTAAAGTAAAATGCGACTTATCTTTCCTTTTGTTACTTTTTTTTAGTTAATTTAACGTTATCTGATATGCCCTAGAGACAAAAATAAAAGTAATACATTCATTACACACTACTTGTTTTAATCATTAACAATTGATTGGAACTGCCTTGCGCAGTGAAAAAATACAAGTTGTACTGTCAGTACTAGATTGGCAGGTAATATCCCCATAAGATGGTAGACGGCGAAGATGTGGCTAGCGTAGTGGTAAAGTTGATGACTTCAACTCCAGTGTTGCCACTAGCCGATTTTTATTCTAGCCACATTTATTGTTAGGTACAGGGTCTAGAGCACGTCAAGTTGACACTTAAGATTTAAATCCAATTTTATTCCGCTTCGATAAGAACGGCCCAAAGTACAAAGTGCCAAGCTTGACGTGCTCTTGACTGTACAATAAAATATTTGATAAACTCTTAGCAGAAAAAACGAAAAACCAGAAAAAATACCAAAAGTGAAGCTGGACGACCAACATGACAAGGTGATAATGATTTGATTGATATTGAGGATATTCTTTTGGATTCATGATTTGTAAAATTAATACATTTTAAAAATTTTTTGTTTAGTCACTTTTGGCAACTTTTTACATAAATTTAACTACTTCGTCCCTGGGAAAGGTGGCTACACAGGTAAACCCAAGTTTTTTGGGATTCGCTCCGGGCCTTTTGGAGGGAAAAGTGTCGTTTTTATTTTGACTTTAAATTATTTTGTGAAATCTAGTTTAAAGTGGAATAGGATAGTGCTATTGTGCCTTAATCGAAGATTAAAACGCGCAATTATACGAATCTCGAACTTAAATGCCGGTATCGGCCCATCCTAAGGAATCCCGAGTCAATCCAAACACGCCGCCTCAAATTGCCTATCCTCTTTGTGGCGGCCGTATCTATAGAAACATAATTAAACGAAGACATGGCTCAAAGAACTTGTATCCAAGCCAAAGTTATTAATAAAAAAAAACAAGTTTTTTGGGGAAGACAGCACAGAGCATCCCTATCCATAAATGGGTACAGTAATTTTCAATGACGTCAATGTTTTCAGGTAAGTTTTGTACTCAATTTTGGTGACAATTTTTATTATTTAATTACTCGAATATATCATCGTGAAATATTAAAGAATATTTCAGGTTACCACAATCGAATATGCAATAATACTTCATGATGATATTCTATAAATATTTAAATAAAAAGAAATTATCACCAAAATTGAGTACAAAACACAAGTTACCCTTAAATAGGTCGTCGAACCATCTGGTTATATACTCGATATCGAACCATGATGTTATACTACGTACAAGGTTCACCTTAGATCGGTAGCAATGGTATTGATTCCACAAAATAAAATGTTCCATAAATATCGATTCAAATAGTATGCTCATGTTAATTGTAACATCCCTATTTTCAGTGTAGCCAAGGTATTAAATTTTCGTGCATTCGGTAATTTATGGTGTTAAATGAAATACATTTTAAATGTGCAGTACATACTCATTACAATTTCATTATATTTTATTATTATATTTTATTTCATTATAATAAGCATTACTTAAATAATAAAATACTACTAATTAAATTTTAGTTATCTTTTAGCACGTTTTCATCCAAGTTGACATTTTTAGTAAAGCGTATATGAAGATGTAGCCACACAAAAATAAAAAACGAAAACGTGTGTTTACGCTGTGTTGGGGACTGCTGCAGTGCTAGAAAGAAAATTATTTTTGTAATATTGACAGCAGGACCATTGTATTATTTATTACAGTAACTTTATTTCATATATTATAAGGTATCAATCAAAATAAATAATGGCAAAGAACAAAGTTGATATCGGTTTCTTAGAGGAGAAAAGTAACTGGCTTTTGCATCCTAAGTATTTCCCAAGCAAAGTGGGAGGGAAACCAGCTTGGCTAGATCTTAAAAATTTACCCAATCCTACAGAATTGAGTTGTAAGATATGCAATGATCCTTTTGTGTTTCTATGTCAAGTGAGTATTCTTGTTGCACAATACAGTAAAAAAATAACCTTATTGCATAATGTCATGCTGTTGTTATTTGTTTATATTAATGTAACTAACATAACAGACGACGAATGTTACCACTAATTGCAGAAAACACTAAATTAAATGAGGTTAAATTTATTATTTTTGCCTATTGACATGCATGAAATTTTAGAGAGAATTGCATGGCATTCTTTTTTCTTGAAAGAAACTGCCTTTCAGTGACACTGCTTTTTCTCCTTCGTCCGCTGATGTTCGGTTAGTTATACCAACAGTTTATGTGTTTAAGTATTTACTAAAATATTTTTTTCAGATATACGCTCCATTTGAAGAATCTAGTGATCACTTCCATCGCACATTATTTATATTCATTTGCCGTAATGGGTCGTGCTGTCGCAAAAATTCAGTTGAAAATTTTGTAGTGCTACGCTGCCAGTTGCCTAGAAAAAATGACTATTACTCTTACGAGCCTTACGAAGAAGTTCAATGTAATGTATGTAATAATGTGTGTTCCCAGCTACAATTACAGTAAAACAGTTTTTATAAAAGTATTGATTTAGGTACTTATTATTTCAGGATTTTCCAATGGAGAAATGGCCTAAGGTCTGCAATTTGTGTGGGATGAAGGGACCTTCTCACTGTTCAAAATGCAAAAAGACATTTTATTGCAGTCGTAAACATCAAATACTGGACTGGCAAAAAGGTCATAAGGAATTGTGCCCTCAGTTGCAGGTACATGGGAATTTAGAGTTTTTTATATTTGTATGTTTCACCATGTACAATTGTACACTTTTTTTTTATGTACTTGCTTTGAGAACAAATTGCATACTTGCATAATAAATAAAGTATTTGCTTTTCAGATTGAAGAAATTGTTAAATATAATGAGTTTACTGTAACTGAAGCAGGGAAGACTATTTTATTTAAGGAATGGGAACTCATTGTGGATGACGAGGATGAGGTATCTCTCATAAACTAGTTTTAGTTCTTTGTGTATTTGTTATATTGTATCTGCAGTGAAAACTCAAAAAGAACTGTTATTCCAAATGATTAATAAATCAAATCATTAAATTAATTAATGAATTGTAGTTGGCAGTACAATTGGTCATCTCTAAACTGTGTATAGTTTGGTCAATGATCTGTTAGGTTTTCTAGAATTGATTGAAACAAACTATAGATAATTTTATTAGTGGCATTATTTCTGGGGTTCAAGTCTCTTGCATTGAGGTGTAAGGTAGCAAAATAATGCCACAATCACTTGGTCTGGTTCTTAAACCCAACACAAATGTCCGTGTAAGGACGTCCAAGTTTATTTCCTGGGGCAAGATCTCAGAGAAAACAAATGTAGTGAGAATTGTGGTTGAACATGCTACTTAATGGACTTTAATGTAAATAATTTTATCATAATGTTTGAAATTTTGTAGGAAGAGGCTACTGATGTAGATGAAAACAAAGAAATGGAGAAACTAAGAAAAATGATACAAGAAAAGAGAGCAGGAACACTCGGCAATGTTAGTGAAAATGAACTTGAACAATACACAAGGACTCTGCCTGAGGACAAAGTGTTTAACAAATTTAGCAAGAGGATTGCAAGGCACCCTGATCAAGTGCTTCGATATGATAGGGGAGGCACTCCTCTTTGGATTACAGGACACACTGAAGGCACTGCTGTTGTTGTGCCAAATTGCCAGTACTGTAAAGAAGAGAGGCAGTTTGAATTTCAAGTAGGACATTTGAACAATTTGTTGTAGTCTCATAAGTATCAGGTGTTCAAAGTAATATTTATGAGGTTTAGGTTAAGTTTAGCAAATGCAGCAATATTGCAATAAAAAATTTATTTTTAGGTAATGCCTCAGCTATTGAACTTCATCAATGTTGGTATAGATTTCAACAGCATTGACTGGGGGGTGCTAGCTGTGTACACATGCAAAGCAAGTTGCACACAAGGCCCAGCATATAAAGAAGAGTTTATGATAAAACAAGATTTAACTATCTAACAACTTTTATTATATAAGTATATTATTTTAAAATAAATTATTTTATACACATCATTTTTCTTTCACTGATTTCGATTTCCCATAATCTTCTGATAAGTAGGTCATTAAGTCATTTAAACCACTGAATTCTGTCCGAGACTTTGGTGGGTTGTTTTTTGGCAGAGCTGGTAATATGTTGCCCATTCTGAATCTGAAGTCTTTGAGCTGGAAAATAGTAATAATTATATATCGAGTTCTTTGGTTTCCGCGATTGTTACACATAGGAAATGGAACTATTTTTCCGGTTTTAAATTGCCTATATTTGTTTTTTCAAACAATCCGACATTTCGGGCCCTTTACAGGTCCCATGGTCACGGTTAACTGAGGTGGTACAGTCATCAACCAGTTATGTCTAATGTTAATGCAAACCACCCTATTCTTTTCTAAGAATAATTATAATTTTGGAGTTAATTCACATAACATCCCTCTCCAGACCAACAGTCATATCTGACATTTTGGCTGTAGCTGACAAGATATACAATCTTCCTCGGCTTACACAAGCTTACATTCTCCACTATTGTCCTATGCCATTCTTTTTATAATTTACTGATAGAATGATGGTTCAACATTAATAATAATTGAAAATTTGATCCACTGCTAGTTCCGGCACGAGAGAGGCAATAAATAGTAATAAATATTTGTACGAGCTGTATTAGATTTAAAACCAAAAGTACTTAATGAGGTGTTATAATTTCGTGATAACTATTGAATTTTATACTAGCCTCAAAATCATCAACTTCAATAATAAAAAACATCCAGGGTGATATTCAAAACTATTACACATTATGTTAACTGTTACCATTTGTTAATTAATAATTTTTAACATTAATTATTATTTATTAAGTACTCACATCTTTAGCACCAGACAGTTTCCATATTCCATAACATATTAAAGATGTGCCAGCTACTGCATACACAGTACCCCAACCAAGTGCCCTCAATGCTAGGAGAACTCCAGCGTCTGCCATTTCTACACTACCTTGTAAACCTGGAACATAACTAGAATAGGTCATGTAAGTTACATCACACAACCTCTATTCAAGAAGTTTTACAATTTAAAAACAGCACAATTTTAACAAATGACTATTAATATATACTTAGGACCTAGAATAATTTGTAGAGATTGGTAAGGCATCAGTTAGGATCGTACTGAAAATGGAATTACCTTTGTTAAAATACTTCGGATCACTTTTCTTTGCTGCAGCCAACGTTGCTCCGAACCCAACGAATGCAGAAATTCCTGCCACAGACGCGAGGAATGCTCCAGCTGTAATTATGAAAAATATTTATGATATTCCTGGGTACAACAAGTACCAAAATAATGAAAACACTGCACACCTTTTATTCTCTGCAAGCGTTCCTCTTGATCTTGTTTCTCCATTTTTTTTATTCCAAGTGGGAAATATTTAACAATGTTGTAAGTCATCAAATGTTCTATAATTACCTCCTTGGAGTAATATTATTCTATGATAATTACTAAATAGTCTCAATCGTTTCTTTCATAATTTAATTTTCGTTACGTTTAAGTCAACACATGAGAAATGGGAGTGAGTGATTGATAAATTGACAGTTGGACATGGATTGAACCATAGTGTAAAAAATTTGTAGCGATAAATTCTTGATTACAGTGATTAATTAATCGATTTGATCTATACTTTGCGTCGAATATAATTTGTGAATTTTGCACGTCCATACCATGGTCTTAATTTTCATGTCTGAACAGAGATCGAAACATTTTTACGTACAATCTAAGCGGAGTTCAGAATTTTTCATAATATTGTTGAGCAATTGAATAGTACGGCACATTCCTACCGCAAGACATTGATTGAATAGTTGATAGTTGACAGTTAATTGATAAGTGATAACTGTAGTCACGTTTTTCGAGGTTATATTTGTGTTTACGAAATAATTGTACGGGATGAAAAACAAGAGCGATGTACCGGAGTTGTTTGGCAATTCCAAGAAAAATAATAGCTATGTTAAAGTCTGTGCTCCTATGGTGAGGTACAGTAAGGTGCAATTTAGAACTCTGGTAAAAAAGTAAGTTCAACTCTGATTCTGGTTGAAATCTTAAGTGATTATGTAATTAGTTTTATTCTATCATATTAATACATTGTTTTATTTGTAGCTATGGAGTGGATTTGTGCTTCACTCCAATGGTTTTAGCTGACTCGTTTTGCCAGAATGGCAAAGCCCGCGCAAGCGAGTTTGCGACTACGATTACTGACTCTCCTCTGATCGTGCAATTTGCAGCCAATAATGTAGACGATTTCGTCGATGCCTCCACACTCGTCTATCCTTACGCAGATGGCGTAGACTTGAATTGCGGTTGCCCTCAGCGATGGGCCATGAAAGATGGCTATGGATGTGCTCTACTGTCCAAACCACAAATCATACAAGACATAGTTAAAGGAGTGAGAAACAGTTTGCCTGATACTTTTAGTGTGTCCGTCAAGGTGAGGCTACTTAAAGAGATAAAGAAAACAATAGAGATTTGTAGGCAGTTGGAGAAATGTGGGATTACTTTCCTGACAGTGCATGGACGGACACCCGACCAGAATAGTGCTGGTATTGTCGATACTGGCGCCTTAAAAGATATTTGCGAAATTATAAAAATACCGGTTATTGCGAATGGTGGTGTCAAGACTTTGGGGGATGCGGATAATTTGCATGCAGCTACAAATTGTAATGGAGTGATGGCTGCAAGTGGCCTGTTAGCCAATCCTGCTTTGTTTAGTGGTGCAAACAGGACTCCTCTCAGTTGTGTTAAGCAGTGGATGAGTATGAAAGACAAGGACAGTGATAGAATATCATTCCAATGTTATCATCATCATTTAGTCTTTATGCTTGACAAAGTATTATCAAAACAGGAGAAGCAAATTTTTAATCTTCTCAATACTTTTGAGAGTGTTGATGAGTTTTTATACAAACATGTTTTTGAATCATTAGATGGCGGTCACATAGACTTTAAATACAACTTAGATGAATTTGTAGTATGTGAATTTTCTGATGAGATCACTTTGAAGCATTCAAAAAAGTGTAGAGCTTGTGGTAAAAGCATGTATTACTGTATATGTTGTAAATATGATCCTAATTCTAAGGATGGGAGTTTTTTTAATATGTACATAAAAGATAGAGATGAATTAGATTATATGGACAGTAACATATTTGATGAATCTGTGTAAACTTTACTAGATATCAATGTAACATAACTGTGATATTGCTTTTATTGTAATATAGTGGTTGTTTTTTACATAAATGTGGTTAATTTTTCATTATTTTTTATTCTTTGCTTGTATCATCTATCTGAAAGTAAGAAGGTAATCAGTAGATACAACATTTTTCTTAGTACAATTAAATTTAAGTTACACTCATTCCACTTCATTTGTAGGATTTTTCCTTACTTGAAACCATTATAACTGATACACGTTTTAATTCCTCAAGTTAGAAGTATAATTAAACTGCTTTCGAAAAGTTTTAGATGTTATCACAAACATTATGAAGGCGACAAAATTTTGTATGTTTATTAGTACTTTTTATATGAGGTCATTAACACTGCATGGTTTCTCACGAATTACTAGTTTATAATTAGAGATTGTGAGATTTTGAAGGCTTTATAGACCATATACACTTTAAGTGTAGAGCATAGATTTAATTTTAATATACGAACTTACGCGCGTGCGTGCTTTGCAGTTTACGAAAAAAATTGTACTTAAAAAAATAATTTTAGTAACATTTTGTGCTATACTTATTAGGTATTTCGCACCATACATATTATGTAGGTCTCGAACTACAGATAGTTAACGGTCTCGTACGTTCTAAAGTTTTAAATATTTTAAAGTATTTGAGTAAGTACTTAGAGTATAATAAAGTGAATTAAACTGAATATGGAGCTGTAAGTACCAGCTAGTAATTGGGGGTCACAATGGTATAAAGTGAGCAGTTAAAGTAAACAAGTCTCCATTTGCGGGCGTTACCGTCGCCAGCAGGTCAATCGGCGACCTGCGGAGGATGCGCCCCGGTCGTCCAGACGCATGGTCTGCGGATCCGCGCAACAGTCTTGTTCCGGCGGCACTACGCGATGTTACCCGCGCTTTTTCATTTGACCAAAATTTTCTCGTATTGTAGTGAATTGGTTTAATTTGTTTAAAGAATTGTTTTTCAAAACTTTAGAAATGTAAGTACTTACCTATTTATTTATGTTAAAATAATTAAGTTAAAATATTATTTTATAGTATACGCATATGAATGTAACTGAATTGAAATTTATAGTTTTAACGTGCGTGCGTGTACTTTTTGGTTTAATAAATAATTTTGGGAAACTTAGAACTCGAATCACATTTTGTGTTGTAATTATTATTTCTAGCTATAAATGTTTAGAGTAAATGAGTAAGTAGTTTGTTTTGTAATTAGGTATTTGAATTTCGGAACTGTGTCATTGCCACCCCCCCACTGCTGCCATAAATAGGTAGCACTTTTTATTTACCATTTAAAAAAATAGTGCCTTATACCACTAACCTATTACGAAGGGAGATACGCATTTATCAAGTGATGCCTTATCAAAATTTGAGATTTACAACTTCATTTCAATTGGGAACGTATCTATTAAACTTATCACAAAATAATCGTTATATATAGGAAATGCAACAAACCAACGTTTCGGGCCCTTTACAGGTCCCATGGTCATCCCGTGCAACAATCGCGAAAACCTAAGAACTCGAATCGTTATATGGTCAATAAAATTAATAAACTTTACTTTTGAGTTTGTCTTAAAAAACATGTCAATCTCTGCTTTGATGAAACCCTTGCCAAGCTGTGGGACCACAGACAAGATAAGGTACGTTATCTGGTCTGTGGGTAGGTATATGGTGTGAAAAAGTCCAGTTAACGTAATACAAATCAATTCCCATAATGCTATATGAACAGAGTAAAGCATGTGTAACTTTCATACATACATGTCGTCAATTTGAATATATTATAAAAGCTTGTTTCTGGTGCTGCAAAATATAGCATGTATAGTTGTAGTTTAATAATTAAATACGATCACCTTAACGACAGTATTAGTTACTTTAAAACACAGGATGTTTAGCATGTTAGTAACTGTGACAGTTAAGATATTTGGTTAAATGGATGGTTTTCACGCGCAATGTATAATATAGGTACTTCCTATCCATTTGAATTGATTGGGATTTGACAGTAATTGATAACTTATGAAAACTAGACTTTTATCAACTTAATACTTTTGTTTAGTTCATTATATCAAGTTATTTTATGAATCTTAATTCGAAATGGGTACCTAATAATAATGTGCCACAGAAGCACACCAATTATCTGGTCTCCTATTAGGGATCTCCCTGTGTTGTGAGGACCAGAGCAATGAAATTCACTACCCAAAACAGAATCAAATGGGAAAAAGTAAATTTCCCAAAATTTGGGAAATTTACTTTTATAAATATATAATATATATATATATATATATATATATATATATATAAATTAGCAGGAATCGCACCTGGACTTCATTATCCAGCGCCTACAGTGCATGCAAATCGTTAGGCCACTGAGGTTATGAAAATGACCAGCGTTTAGTTAGAGATCTAAGTAGGTACACGTAAATCCCATTGCGTAAGTTAAAACCTAACATATATAATTATGTTATTTAACGTATGAATGGAATGAACACACCGATTATCTAAATGAAGTATACAATATTATAAAAAAATTCGATAGTGATTGGTAAAAGAAAATTAAGCATGTCTGATTTGACTGTGTGTGTAGAATGTAACCACAAAGGTTAGCAAATTAATTAACTTCGGTTATCAGTACTCGTCGTGTATTGTACGTATAATACATACCTTCTACTCCTCAATATTGAAGATGGTGTAAAAAATTGCTAATATTCTTTGTTTCAAAGTTAATTGCTCGTAACTTTCTATTATTCGTATTTTTATTCATAAAATAACTATTGTACCTGAATGTATGAATGAAATCTCAACATTAGTCAAGGGTGTTAAGGTTTTCGTGGCGTGTTTTCGAGCGCCTTAGTAATATAACAAGTAGGACTTTAAAAAGACTCCAAAATGTAGGTACTCAAAAGGTGTTTTATCTCCGTATAGGTTGGTTGATTCTAATTTTCCCCTTGTTTGATCAAATCTATTTGTTCTATACTTTCTCGAGTGGTGCTACTTTAAAAAACGTTGACCTGGTCGAAATGTGTTTAGTTAATTTTGCCGTAGTGCCATGTGGAACTGTTGGCTCAGCTACATGCTACAGCATACAACTCCGGGCACTGGGCAGAGGCTTCGTCTATTTGCACTATTGCCGAAGCAATATTAAAAGTGTGCCACACACATTACTTGTTTGCACACGTTCGAATTTTACTCTGGACATCTCTTGTACTAGGTCGACATGAAGGCCATTTAAATGACTAGAAAATAATGAAAAGGCTCACAAAATCTAGATAGCATTTTAACTAACTTATTATAAAAGATATAACAGTATATAGGTATCTCGGCGAATTCAAAACAATTTAGTTTTTGTAAAAGTGTTTTTGTTGTAGGTAATATGTGCTCAAGAAGTGAAACTAGACGTCCAATCGTATTATTCTATAAAAGCGACTATTGAATATATTTATAGATGTGCGAATGGCTGGCGAGTCGCGAGTGGTGCGATGTGCAGTTGCAATGCAATGGTCGTTCATTCAGCGCACACCGAGCCGTTCTTGCCAGCGTCAGCGCGTTCCTTAGGGTAACCTACCTTCACCTTTACAGCTTTATTCAACCACAGCGCTCTCACAATTTATGGTTCCATTTCTAATTAGCGACAATTTCCTTTCAGCAAATACTTCTCGCGTGTCCGCACGAAGAAACACCAACGTTTATAGTCTTGCCCGACTTTGATCTCGACGCCATGTCATCTGTACTATATTACATTTACAATGGAGAAGTTATAATTCACAACAATAAGTTGGAGACATTTTTAGAGATTATTCGTACTATGCAAATATTTATTGATGAAAAGTATTTGCCTAAAGCGTTTAGTGTAGGGAACGTAGAAACTAAATATACGGCAGGCAATAATAAATTCAAAGTAAAAAACAATGAAATATTTTCATTGGGAAATTGTGACGATAAAAACTATATCAATATCAAGAAAGGAAGTGAAATATGGGACTTGTTGCAACCGTGCTCATATAACAATACAGTTCAGCGAGATAAGCAAGTGAGACGTCACGGGCTTACTTGTTTAGATGATCTGCAACCACAGTGCAGAGACCGACAAAGGAGTAGTTTCTTACGTGATTTATGTATCGAGACATATCCTCGGAACGGTAATGTTAACGGTCGGACGGCAGGCGTGCTAGCCATATCAAACGAGCGCTATCGTGAACCGACATCAGTGCTCTTGACGAATGCAAATGACAAAAATCTCAGAGTTGATAATGCTCCAGACATCTCTAAGGAATCGACAGATGTGCCTTTTTGGTACTCTGGTACGAAAAATCTGAAAGAAACCTTTGGTGCCCAAAACTTTAACAATTACGAATCTATTAATTTGAAAAATTTTAGCGCAATGCATATTTATCCAAAGTTACGTTTACATGGTCTTACTAATTCAAGCAACATATTAACGAATTGTCTTTCTTTACCATCACAAATGATTCCTTTCGGATTAACAGAAAATAATTGCAATAAGTTTAGAGAATATCCCGGTAAGAAATTACCTGAAGGGCACAAGGCTCTACTTAAAAGAGATTTTAAAGTAAGTGGCAGTAGTAACAAAACGGCAAAGAATGCAATTTTAAATCAAGTCCTAGGAAGTCCATGGAGTCCACGCTTACCTGTTAATTATAGACCAATACACAGGAAAGAGGAGGAAGCTAAAGTTTCAACGTCAACTAAGAAAATCGTGAGTACACATAGTTGAATCAACGATCAAGCAATAAAGTGTATATCGCTCACTAATCAAATACATTTTATTATTGGACAGGAACACAAAATGGATACATTGAATGACAGCAATAATAATGTTAAAACACCACAGAGCATCGATGTCAGAGAAAGGGTACCCGCGAACGGCGACGCTATCGAACAATCCAATACATTACACGTTAACGCCTGCAACGTAGGTGGCAGTGAATTTCAATGCACTGTATGCAATCAGGTAAGCTGACACTGCTCTCGGGAGTGGATATCAAAATTCAACCGTTACCAAAGTGGAATGCAAAATTAAAATTTGCTGCAAATTTAGATAATCATTTGTAGAGTCGAGTTAAAAGCAACTTCTAAGTAAAGAAAACATTTATATTCATATAGTCAGCTGCTTGGCGTTTGGAGTTGAAACTAAACTTATATTTATTGATTTGTTGAATTGTTGTGTATATAGTTACAATGTGACTTGTAGGTACTTGTGCTACGTGCATAGCAACCAGCGTTTATCTGGAATCTTTAAATATTTTATACACATGGCTTCTAGAGAATCTATTTTCGTGTTCAAGGTATTCACCAGTAATGAGACTTTAGCAAGTCATATGAAGCGCCATGTCTCCACCTCAAGGTACAGCTGCAGCGAGTGTGGCAAGAGTTTCTCGCAGCTTCGCAACTTCAAGTACCATATGTCGATTCACAGAGGGACACGGGAATTCGCTGCTACTTGCACTGTTTGTGGCAAATACTTCAACGATCGCGGGTACCTTAGCAGCCATATGAAGATCCATAGGTGAATAAAATATAATATGTACATTTGGACGGATTTTTTAAAAATTTTGTGTATTAAATTTAAATAAATTTGAAATTAACCATGACAAATTCGGTGAAGGAAATCATCCCATTCAGAACTGGATCCACGCGGTAACTACAGCCCAAGTCCTCTTATTGTGAGAGGAGGCAAGTGTCCAGCAGCGGGACTATGTATAGGTTAATTATTAATATTTATATAATGCCTATACAAAAAAAATAGAAATTCGGTTTTCGGAAAAATTAAGCTTTTGTAGATGACCATCTGCGTAACCTATCACAAAGTCGGATTTTTTTTGTCCGAATTAACGTCTGTTCGAATTTTCATTACACCGAAAACCGAATTATAACGAAACAGTTGTTATTTCAGAATATGTTGAATGTTTATCGCAAAGACACGATTAGGTTCGGTTAGATTAGGTTAAGTTAGGTTTAAAAGAAAAAAAAAATTTTTCTCTCAAAATTACTTTCGAGGTTATGAAATTTCGACTAAACGTTATTTCTGGCAAATGTCATTTCGGACTACTGATAGGTAACCGACTATCTGCCGTTGTACATAAATACTTTAATGTATAATTCTGTATTCTTGTCTGAAGAAAATGTTATTATTGTTTCAGAAATCGAAAAGAGTACAAGTGTTCACAGTGTCCGAAGTCGTTCAACCAGCGGGTGGCGTACAACATGCATGTTAGGATTCACACAGGTACCTACTACACTTACTTGAAACACTCCCACGCCAACAATTACCGATTTGCCAGCATTTGTCTACGGCCGTGCTAAGTTCGATCTCCGTGGAAACGTGTCGATTTCACGCCTCACCCCATTCGCACAGTAGAATGTACACTATTTTATTACGTGTAAAATTTACGATTGTACGTTACGTTTTCTTATTGATCTGTTGTGTCATCAAGTCAATGTAATTATAAAATGTTACAACGTTTTGTGAATCTATAAACATCGCGGTTGAAATTGTGAATATATGAATAGCTAATCAGAAATAAATAATTTTTGTCGACCTCGATTGCTCGGTGGTTTGCACTGTGGGCGCTGGATGAGGAGGTCCCAGGTTCGAGTCCCGAAAGGACCTGTAATAACTTTTCCCAATTGGTTCTGGGAAGTGCCCCAGAGTGATTACGTTGCTTTGGTAATCTTGGTACAGGGAATTCCATAATTTCCCAAAGAGCAGGAAATTATTCCACATTCACTCAGCTCTACTTAGTAGCACTTCTAGTAGCAGTAGAGCTATTTGTGGAAGAGTTCGTCCAGGGAAATACTGCCATCTTACGTATTTCTGCCGCCAAACTGTAATGTGAGCATTATCGTATTCCGGTTTTGAATTGTAAGGGTGCTGGTGAAATTATATTCATACGGGACTTGCCTACTTATGACTCACGGTGATGGGCGCAGTGGCAGTGCGCCCTTAGATCTTTGCGATGTAAAACTCTAAGTGGCACTGCCACTGCCATGGACAAGCGTGTCGCTTACCACCAGGCGTACGATTTGTTCGTCCTGTCACTTAGTATCATAAAAAAACTCACAAGATAAATAAATGTAGGCCATACATATATTTCTCCCAGACCGGAAATCGAACCCGGGGTCTCTGCGTGGCAGTGCAGCATGGTAACAGTTCGGCCATGGAAGCAGTTAATTGTATGAATACTGCACTAGGTTCTTCACTTTTGGATTCCACTTTCCATTTAACATCAGATGAAATCATCTGCCTGAGACGTATAAAAAAAATAAAAATTGTTGTGGATGTTTTATTATTATTATGAACAGGAAAATCTATCTATAAGGAGCTATAAGTGTGTGCATTAAAAAAACGAATTCCCGATTTATATTTTATAATAGTATATACATCAATATAGTTGTCTACGATGTCAAAATTAAAAAAGCATTCTACAATTAGTACAAAATTAGTGAATTAGCTGTTTTAGTGGGCACCATGTTACTAATAGCTAGTTCACTGGTAGGGAAAAACCTTAGAAAAGTTTTAAATGCTACAGAAACTGTTATCCAGAGAGTTCGCTGAACGTTCTCTTCACGCACGGCTGGATTTGATTTTTATTACATTTCAAATAAGTAATAGGCTCCGACAGCCCAATGGAGATGGCAGAAAGGTGATTGGACGTGCAATAGGTGGCAAAATTGCGTGCTAACGGTCGTACAAAAATAAGTTCTCTTTTAGTGCTCGAAGAAAACTTTGACAATGACCATAATTTTACACAAGCAACACCAGTATTTTTTTGGAATTGTAGAGTACACAGTGACACACAACGCCCTTTTATATTTATTTCTATGTTACTGGCTGCGGCGAAAAAGTTCCGTTCTAAAAAAAGCTGGCCATATTGCCAGGTTTCAAACTAGTGAATTGCTTGTACTATTCATAGTGAACTCATACCAGAATAACAGAACCCACCCTGTGGCATTTCCCACTGAGAATACTCAGGCCAGAACCAATGTAGAAAAGTTCGTTTCCCAAATTAGTCCTACCGGGAATCGAACCTGGGATCTTCGCAGCGCCCACAATGTTAACCGCAAGGGTACCGAAACCGGTCCAGCAACACTGGTCGTTGTGGCGCTTTTTGGGGGAGGCCTATGTCCAGCAGTGGACGTCTTTCGATTGAAATAATGATGAACATGGGCAAGCGCCACTGAAGAGTGTCTAGTTTTATAATGGTCATATTTTAGGTATGAAGTTCTAAGTGCCCAGTGATTGCGAACAATATCGTTATTCATATTGGACCGAGACATCTATCATATCATATCACTCTGTTGTCGAAGATATTATATTATTATAGTGTATATCGATACCTCCAATGAACACTACGTCAACTTTATTTTTTGGTAATTTTCTGTTATTTTTGTAAACAGCCATATTTATTTATTAATATTATGCTCCCAGAATTTTGTGAAATAAAAATAGAAAAACGATAAAAAATAAAAAAATAAAATTAAACAAAAAACAAAAAAAATTTTTTTTGAAAAAAGCTGTTGTAGCCTAATGGTTTGACCTACTGTCTCTCAAGCAGAGGTTCGTGGGTTCGAATCCGGGCTCGCACCTCATCGAAAACATCGTGATGAAACCTGCACGTTGGAGAAGGTTCACAACACTCGGAAAACGTGTGAAGTCCCCTACCCGCATTGGGCCAGCGTCGCGGACTACGGCTTAAACCCTCGTCTGAAAGGAGACCCGTGCCCAGCAGTGGGACGTATAAAGGGTTGATGATGTTGTGAAAAAAAAGTATAAACAAATAAAATCAAAATAAAAACAGAACATAAGAACCAAGTTGGCGTAATGTTCAGTAGAGGTATCGATATACTCTATTAGTACTTAATGTAGTGTAAAAAAAGATATTCTTTGGTTGCACCCCTTCTGCATATCCCAAATGTCCATACTAAGATTGCCTGGCAGAAATTGCTACATAGCAATAAAATAGCAAGTCAATATTGCACATTGCAATAAGGCTGCCTGTTGCACATTGACTTGCTATTTTTAACCGACTGTAAAAAAGGACGAGGTTATCAATTCGACTGTATGTTTTTTTTGTATGTTTGTTACGCGATAACTCCGGTATTTGTGAACCGATTTTCATGATTCTTTTTTGTTTGAAGAAAATCATCCACCTCTGAGGGTGGCTGATTACGCATGAACATTCATTTTTATAAATAACCTATATTTTACTTAAGCAGCAATTATTTTAATGGTTGGTTTTGCTATTCCCCAATTCAAGGCGTTTTTCTCTCTCAATATACTTTGAGTAGTGAGAACCGATTTTTATTATCCTGTGTCAAGTCCTGTATAGTGGCGAACTAGGGGATATTTCAATAAAAGTTGGCAAATAGATGTAATTCCACGTACTTTCGAGGTCGGTTTTTTAGTACTCTGTACTGAGATTATTATACTTAAGTTACTGGTTTGTGTTGTCACTGTAATGTGCAATAACAGTAGATTGTGCAACAAGTGCATAAAACGCGTGATTTTACCCGAGACGAGTATATCCTTAAGTCGAGGGTAAAATGGGTTCTATGAACGAGTTATATACACTCTGCTTTTCACTTCGATTGCGAAGAAATTAAACAGCAATATTACAAATAAACGATTATTTAATTAAAATTGAATGTAAAATTACAACAATTTAATGTGATGGTTTTTTTTAAGCACTAGATAGAGCATAAAATCCTATTTTATGCAACCTACACCCAGCATAAATACGAACTTTAAGAGCATGAGAAGTGAAAAGCAGAGTGTATATAACTCGTTCATAGAACCCATTTTACCCTCGACTTAAGGATATACTCGTCTCGGTCTCGATATTTCACTCATTCATTAATTTGTTCATATACTTGTTTGACAATGTTTTATTGTAGGGGTGAAGCCTCACGTGTGCGGCGAGTGCGGAAAGGCGTTCTCACGCAAGATGCTACTGAAGCAGCACCAGCGCACCCACTCGGGCGAACGCCCTTACGCCTGTCCGCATTGCGACAAACGTTTTGCTGACAGATCTAACATGACTCTGCATCTGCGGTTGCACACTGGTCAGTACTACAGAGTACACATAGAAACTTCACGCCTTTCTTTTCCATTTACCTCTATGTTACTGGCTGCCGCGAATAAGTTACGATTTAAAAAAGATGTACATTATAAATTAAACTAATTGTAGTGTGCATAGATAGTAGGGTGTTAGTTGTTGAGATATCTGAATTTCGTCTACATTTAAAAAATAAAAAATTAACATCCAGAGCATTTATTTCAAACTATAGTTTATTTACGTACGTTTCCTTCAATAAAAAGGTATAGAATTCTTTAAGTAGGTAAATTCTGAATAATGGTACTTACCTCCGCTCGAATTGAAATTTCTTCCGTACTGTAAAAAAATAATTGCTATATATGTGAAGTGCCTATTGAATACAGCGGTTTTCTTGTATAATTTAGAGGTAAGTTTGTTTTTTATCGTGAAAATTTTTAGGAATCGTGTTTTTACACCGTATAGGCACTAATCAGTGTATATCTTCAATTTTACCATAATATTTTTTTTTCCAAAGTGATTGCTTCAACACTTTCACTGTTATACGGAATCAACCAAAGCCATTTGAGGTAGTATAGACTCTTAAGTAGTTTAGTATTACTTATTTGATATATTTTAAGCAGACGGTTATCTTCTTTTATTACTTTCATATTATTAACTTCGTTGTTATTATAATTACTTTTGTATATGCTGTAGGTATATACCTACAGCATATTAGAATTTAGATTTAGATTATTAGAATTTTAAAACCTTAACGAGAATTATTGCTCAGCTAGACTGGTGCGCTTTCCTAAACAATACTTTTTGATATTGATTGTAATCTATATTATGATGTTTTACTACCATAATATTAATTTATTTTTTCGTGAAATTACTTAATTATTGAAAATTTGGAAGTGGTATTTTCGGGTAGTTTAATTCGAAAAATGCACTAACATTTTTTTCAAATCGTAGCTAATTAACATTAAATTTCTTATCTGTCTTTTCTAGGTGTAAAACCGTTTTCCTGCGCTCTGTGCTCTAAGTCCTTCACTAAGAAGCATCATCTCAAGTCGCATCTGAACTTCCACACTGGCGCGAAACCCTACTCTTGTCCGCGCTGTAAGCTCGCTTTCACTCAGTCATCAAATATGAGGACTCATCTGAAGAAGTGTACCGCTCCAGAACCAATTAACAACGGGCCTCTTCCTAGCAGTTAATACTTACATACGTTATTTATTTAATTCGTCGTTTATTGTGAATTCATACAACTAGTGGTGCAACGGAAGTAATATACATTTTGTGTCGATAAGAGTAAAGTGTAGTGGGTTTTTTATTCTTCTTATCATATCGATGGAATACACTATAATGCTAGCTATCGTGCTGGAAGGATTTGCCAATTTGTGTAAGGTACTAGCAAGTACTCTACTGTTATATTTTGTATTCATGGGTTATAAGTTTATTAGTATTAAACAGATATATTAGAAATTGATTTGTTTTTAAAATATTATTATCATTGAGAGATTTCTAGATTTTGAAAGATTAGACACTGTTTCATGTAGCGTTTAAAAGACGAATATCCTAAGTATTCACACAGCAATGGCCTCTCAACGTGTTCTCAAACACGTCTGTGATGGATTCACGCTTTGTTGCACTTTTATATTGGCATAGAAGACGCCAACGGCTTTGCCGCCGGAAGAACAGACGGTATTGGGTTCACCCAATGTATCAAGAAGCAGCGTGTACAAGCACATTTGAAAAATTATAAGAAAATCTGAGAAATTATGGAAAAAAACGGGCCTTTGTTCCACTAAAGAAATCAATAAATTATTGTGCACGATTCGGCGGTTATTTTGTATTAATAAAATTATGCGTGGCCTCCTTCCAAAATATACTTCAATACTAGACGCCACCGCCGCTTGTTCGGTAAAAAACATATGACTAGAGGTGGGCGTTTAAAGGAAAAGCACTTAAAAAGTCTGCTTTTTAAAATAAGCGCATAAGCACGCTTTTAATTTTAAGCGTAAGCGTTGGTCACTGGACAGTTCTATAGATACTCAACACTTTCATTTTTTACAACGTGCTTAAGTTTCAAGTAGCGCCATCTATGTTTCCTAAACAAATTAATTCAACATAACATTGCAAGCTTTTATAAACTTATAGTCTATGCACTTAAACATTTTTCTAAACGACTTTTTAAGCGTCAAACTAAAAAGTGTTTAAATGAAAAGCGTTTTAACAAGTACGCTTTTTAAACGTACGTTTTAACGTTAAAAAAATAAGAAATAAATAAATAAGAAATAAATTTCAACGGTTAAACAACAACAAAGGTTAAACAACTTATGTTTTTGAACGCTTTTAAACGCCAATGAACAAAATGTTAATATAAAAATGTTATTTCATAAATAAAAATATATCAAGTTTTTTACAAAAAACCTTACTTATCTTAAAACCTTTAGTAGTCTACTCTTGCGTTTCGCTATCAACACAACGTTGCAAACTTTAAAAAAAAAAAAAAGTTTATGCGCTTAAACGTTTTCTAAACGATTTTGTTGGCTTCAAACTAAAACGCGTTTAAGTGAAAAAGCGTTTATACTGAAAAAGCACGCTTTTTTAAAAAAGCATACAGTTTAAACGTTTAAAAAAATAAGCAGTTTAACCCATCTCTACATATGACTTCACGCCGTGTAAAAGAGGTGCATAATACTATGCGCCACTGCACACCTAATACGTTAATGTTCGTACGATTTGCTTGGGATAATAACGCCACATCTGCAAAATGACTACTGTTCAATAGAAAAGTTTTAAGATTGTATTAACGAAATTAGTCGGTAACATTTTAACGTTTCAAACTGCCTCTGTGGCCGAACGTTCCTGGGTTCGATTCCCGGGCCGGGAGAAATATTAGTATAGCTTACATTTATTACTTTCGTGAGTTTGGGTGTAATTTGTGGTTGTCTATGTGTGTGTCCATGGCACCCGCGATACACGGTTTCCCTAGTGCGGGGCTATGAGTGCGTGCGGTATTTTGTTTATTTATTGTTGCTCAGGAAAGTAATGTACGTCGTGCGGGGAGGCTTTCGTGCACCTCAAGTTTTTTTTATTGATATTGTGATTAATGAATATACTACGTACAAGTATTGTTAATTTAAAAGGTCTGTGTACTCGGTTCATGTATAGTTTCTTAAATATTTGTAATTGTAGACAGATGTAGAATTTATATTGTAGAGATTTATGTTGTTCCATTTTATTTATTATAGTTTGCCACTTCTTTTTGTCTAGTGACTAATAATGTAGAATCTTTTGTATGAACTAAATTATATACACATAAATAAACACTATATTATTTGCAAATACTTCATTTTCCAATTGAGTCCTAAAAGTTTCGTGCACTTTGCGCCTATCATCTTCAACCATTCCTACATAATCAATGCGCTCGCGTGGTCAAAATTCAAAATAAAACCATTATGTTATTTTTATACCAAGTGACCCCCCGTTCACACGGCACTGTATTGCGCGTTTTTTTGCAGTATAAATAGAACCTTATATATAGAACCGAAATTATACATAGAACCGTTCACACGGTGTTTGCACACGCGCACAGCTATACGTTTATCGAATAGACAACGGACTTGTCAAGCAAATCTTATGAAATTTAACGTATTCGGTGTGTATTAATGCATAGTATTAATGCATCTCTTTCACACGGCGCGAAGTCACACGTTTTTTACCGAATAAGCGGCGACGGCGTCTAGTACTGAAGTATCTTTTGGAAGGAGGGCTTGCATAATTTTTTAATACAAAATTACCGGCGAATCGTGGACAACGATTTATTGATGTTTTTACTGGGTCAAGGGCCCGTCTTTGTTCATCATTTCTCAAATTTTCGTACAATTTTTCAAATGTGTCTGTAAATACCTTCTGTTCTTTCGGCGGCAAAGCCGTTGGCGTCTTCTATGCCAATATAAAAGTGCAACAAAGCGTGAATCCATCACAGACATGTTCTCGTGGCGATTACTGTGTGAACGTTGCGTCTATCGCATGAAAATATATCGTGTGAGCACCCCGCCGTCTATCTGTTTATAATCGTGCAGGACAATGCCGTGTGAACGAAGGCTGACGGGACGAATAAATCGTGCGCTCGGTGTTAAGCGACACGCCGATCCATAGCAGCTGCAGTACCACTGAGAACTTTAAATCGCAAAGGTCTGAGAGACACTGCCACTGCTCTTGTTACCCTGTGACATAAGTTGACAAGTCTCATGTGACTGTAATTTCACCAGCACCCTTAACCCATCATAACCGAAACACAGTAACTATCACGTTACTGCTTAGCGGCAGAAATAGGTATATGGTGGCCGTACTGTCCTGAACGAACTTTTTTATAATGAGGTCTATTCTACCGTTACCTGTTGCGCGCATACAATTACCCGTCAAAACAGCAAATATAATTCTCAACATTACTGACTTGTGGCAGAAATAGGTAAGGTGGCAGCACTTCCCTGGATAAACTTCACAATACTTCTTTCATAAGGAGTTCTTCTACATTTGTTCCTCCTACATTTGAACATCGCTTCTTCTCACACTTTGAAGACCTGCATCTTGTATCAATTTCTTAGCAAAATGTCTATTAGAACGATTAAACACTCTACAACAAAAAGGCGATTCTAAAGGTTGTTTTGACTCCCTCAATTCATTTCATTCGATTTTTTTTATCACGTTATACTTTTCTTATTCTAGAAAAAAAAGTTAGCTCGCAATTCATCCTTTGTCTGTAAGTTAATCGTAATTTTGTGTTCGACAACGTCGTTATTATTTCATCCGCATAAATATAAATAAAGAAATGCTGATTTCTACGGAACATATTGACGTACTTAATTTCTCCACCGTGAGCGTACGGTAGAGAAATTAAGGACGTTGTTCATGGAAACTATACGCTATCAACGCTACCACAGATCCCACAAGCGAACTCCAATCCTATGAACTTTTTGAGAAATTATATAAGAAACGCCTTATAAGAAACGTCGATCAATTTCGCTCCTTCGGAGGCGACAACTGCTCTAACAGAGATGTCTTGCATTTCACTCAGACTTAATATATAAAAACTTAACAATGCCACCGTTTTTAATAATTAATTTACTTCTACGTCCTATAATGATCCAATTAAGAGTCTACCTCTAATTTCACAGTTTATTATAGGATGAGATATAATATCGGCATGACCTGTTTTGGAGAAAGTATAACCTTTTAGTGATACATTAACGGGCACGTTCACGCTTTGTAGATCTATATCAGTTCTATAAACTCTACAAATGCAACGAAATCCATAAAGAAGAAGTACTTTACAACTTGTGCATAATACTTTTTAAAGTATCTAACAGCCGTACGTCTCGTCTTAATTGAGTCTTTCAGCGCAAAAGTGCTTAAATCCACATTTAAAAAAATTAAACAATAGAAAAATGTAATAGTTAATATTTTTTTAAACATGAAAATAACATTCAGTAAAAAAATAAGTAAATTGTACAAAAAAAAGTCAATTAAATGTGGGTTACACTACTATTAGCGCTGATAGCCTCAAAGTCACTGTTGTGTCATAATAATAGTAGTTTTTAAAATGAATTTTGATTATAACGTTACTTAAATAAATAATAGATGTAGGTATATAAAAATTACAACGAAACCAATCTACACTCTTCATGTTCTACTGCAATCATTTTGTTATAAAGGATAAACTGATCACTTATCATTATTACAAAATGATGTAAAATAGAAAATATACGTAGATAAAACAGACGTAGAACATTGTCTACGGCTGTTTTATTGCGAACAAAAATGAATGTTTTTTTTATATAGACATAGAAATGAGACTCCAGGTACTGTTTATAAATTATAATTATTATAATATCTTCCACAGTGAATCCAATGAAAACGAAAATTTGTCCTTTTTGTTTGGTCTGTGTTTCTCGTCAACGAAGTTTTTTCGTAATGGCGGCCGCCCGTCAGTGTTACGTTAACAACAGGTTAATACCTTTTTTTAATTTTCTATTTTCGATGAAACATGAGTCTTAATGAAACAAAGTCATTTTCTAATAATATTAAATAAATTAATGTCACGATACGCTAATAGGTTGGAACAATGAAATAACGATTTATTTTTTACTCCTGTTTTAATGGATTTGGTGTTTTAAAACAATTATTGATTGAGGTGTACAAAATTACAAGCCTTTATAGTAATAAATTTCTGGCGTATAAGTTAGACATATAACTCGTTACATTGTGTCGAGTCCAATACATTTCTATAAATATTTTAGCCAAAGTTGTATTAGATATATATGGTAGTGACAATATTATTGCTTACTTTGCAGAACCGTGAGGTATTGTACATTATAGGGTCACTAGTTTATTAGTGTACGATTTGATGACGTAACTTGAATACTGTAAAGGGACTTGTACTACCTACAAAAACAGTCAAATTCGCAAATGACCAATATTATATATAATGGGAAGACAAATAAAAAATGTTCTACATAATATATAAATTACAAAATCGTACAAATCGTACACTAACGAATTTGAAACCTTTATTATTATTACGTATGAAGTGTTTTAAGTTGTTACAATGTTTTATACAAGATTTTTCGATGAGATCTATAATTTATCGGCTGATGGGATATCGTAAACATTGATATTGGAAAAAAATTGAATATCGATAAGGAAGTATATTTACAATTTTATACTTTTGAGTTGGTGAAAATAGAAGTGCTGCTATAATTTTCATTAAGTCTACATCAGATTGATAAATGTAACATTTTTCGAATAAAGTAGTCTTTAAACGTAGGTACGTAAGTAAATATACCTATATCAAAGTTACATAATCGATTTGATGCTTGCACCTTACAGATTGTTTTATTTGCGTTTACAAAGTAAGTATAACTATACCAGTTATGTAAAAATCAATGAAAATATAATAACTCTTCATATAAATATTTAGTTCTAATAAGGAATGACGAGAAGTTCTTAGAGTATAAACAAGTGAATTTATTAATTTGATTTAATATTATGCGCTTTGACAAATGATAATTTTGCAGAATACAATGTAATAAATTTAACATCATACTGTATTAAACCCAAACGACGTCGAAAATTTAATAACACGGAAATAAAACTCAATTAAATTTTATATAACTTCAATACTTTAGTTCAATATTATAATATAAGTTTAGGACAATAAATTGTACAATAGCACGTTTAGAAAAATATTTTTACTGAGTTTTTGCTCTAGATTAAACTAGACATACGAAAGTTTTCTTGTTCATCAGAAATCAGTATACTACTGTTATGTACGTGTCTTCAAGATACATTGAAATGAATTTGTAATGCGTTATTCGCTCATAAAATGTACATGTTGCTTAACTATAACGATACGGAAACTATACGTAATTTGGACTTTGAATTAATGAAGACTTAAAGGATATTCGCCAAAGATTTCTTTTTCAATCACGCTTTTAGAAAAGTCCTTTCGAATTTTAAACACTATAAATTTTTAGCACTAGAAATGGTATAAAATATACGAATGGATAGATTTATATGTGTTAGCTTGTAAAAATCTTAAATACGTACATACGAACGATAGAAACATACAAAAAGCTATTGTTTGGTTTTTACATCACGTATGATCTAACACCTTATTACAAACGATTCTGCTTCATTCTTACACATCGTGTAATCCTTTTGGGTACTTATGTTAAAATCTTCACCAAACATTACATTACTAAATTTATGTCAGCCTTTTCGAATAGGAGAATCATAATTGCTTGGAATTTGGAGTATAAAATAGTAACTAGTAGACTCGGTGAATTAACATTAATCGCAGTGTCGTTCGTCGTGCTACGCCGTCGGACCGACCGGCCTACGCGATCTGACCGAACCGATCACTACTCTACGATGTGAAGCACCATTTGTTCTAGCGTAGGGAAATGTACACAATTCATCGATTCTAATCTAAATAATATTAGACATAGGTTTATGCACACATGCGCTTACTCTCCTTTATTCATAGGAACAACGATTTAAAATATACTATACGAACGTCTCTTACGAAACTTAAAAATATCATGCGCTTTTGGCACTTATTTCTAATCAGTTGATTTTTTCCAAATACTCAATACATACCATATACAGTGGTTAAACACTTTGAAAACAAAAAAAACTTGTAGTTAGCCTGTGAGGCAGCAAGGTTGTCAATTGAAACAGCGGGTGGTATGAAGAGTGAACGACAGATTGGACTCTTTGGTGAAGTGTTCCTTCAGGATTGTTACTACATCAAGGTTGCAGATGAACATCCAAATCCTGGCCAAATACAGTATAATATTGCTATTTAATATCAAAGTAAACATGATGCTTGGACTTTATAACGTAAGTATATCTATTATGCGTTTTTTTTACATTGCATGGAAAAAAGAAATTAATTACGTCGATGTCACAAAAATCCTATTTACAATAGAATTCTACTTTTATGTATAAAATTGAGCATTATTATAAACAAAGGTTGCTGAAACCTTATATGTAGTAGTCAAATGCTTAATACTTACCTATTACTTACAGGCTCCCAAGAGGACTAACTTTATATAAGTACTTAGTACTTATCAGTATTGTATTCACATTCATAATAAATTCTAATTATTTTACAAATGTACAACTTAACGTTCATATCGTAATCTCATAGCCACTGGTCGAGACGAGGCGACGAGCTCGTCTCTGTGTAGTCCTTTTCTCAAATACTTTCGATAGATCACAAGCGGGGAATCACATAATGCGGCGGGGAAACACGCGTCCGACGAGTACGATGAGAGCGGCTGCGGATTGCGGTGCTCTCAAGTGCACTCAATGATGAGTGGCTGGCTGGATTCGATGACGCTAGGTCGCGACTCAACGGCAGGCGTGCCGTAGTGTTGCGGTTCGTGGTCCGGTGGCGGTGGCAGCGCCCGGTACTGCGTCGGTGACAGCGACCCATGCCCCGTCACCAGGTGTGGCGTGGTGGAGTGGGCGTGCCCCCCCAGCAGGGCCTCGCTATGAGACATCGGCACTCGCGCCCCTCCGGCTCCCACCAGCCCTCCTTGTGAAGCTGAGTGAGCCTCGTATTCGTGCCCCTCTCTTTCGTGGCAGTCTTTGTCGACGGAACCTGCAAAGTGCACGCGAAAATGAAATCGGTTGCGATCAGTGAGAGCGCAAGTGAAAGTTTCGGTTCACCTACGAGGAGAAAGTGCAGCGCTTTGCAGTTGCTCTCGCGACCACGCCCGCGATTCGTCGGTGTTGTTAAAAATATGTTTAATAATAAAAAATGTGATGTTATTTAGTGAATTGCAAGGAAGGACTAAAATAAATATGTGAAATAAATTATGCAACAAAAAATTAAATTATCAATAAGATAATTAATAGAAGTTAAAAACTTACCTATACATTCCGTATTGGCAGCATTGGTGATGGCCAGAACCTCTTCTATATTGTTGGGCTTGCAACTCGTGGTTTTCCAATGGGTGCGCAGACCCGAAGCGCTGATGTATTTCTTATCGCATCCTTGGCACACGTATGGCCTGTCATTTGTGTGAAGTCGCTTATGTAGTTTTAAGTGGACGAATTGTGTGAATTTCTGCATACATAAATCGCACGCGTAAGGTTTCTGACCCGAGTGTAGACGTAAATGTGTCTTCAGATTCGACGTGGACGAAAATCTCTTCTTGCAAATATCGCATTGATGAGGTTTTTCCCCTGTATGTACAAGATGATGTTTCTGCAGGTGAGCCAGCTGTGTAAATGATTTATTACAAACGTTACATTTAAATGGTCGCTCTCCTGAATGGGTTCTCAAGTGAACTTTTAGGTTAGAAAGTTGACCAAAAGTCTTGCAGCACACATTACACTCGTAGTGCATTTTTCCATCTTTTTTCTTTAATGGATACGGCAAACTTCTGTACCCTCTCGATGACTGCGAATTAGGGCTCAACAGCATGTTGCAAGAGTCATCAGGACTCATACTGCCATGGGGCGGGACGAGCTGATTGTTTACGTTAGAATTTTGAATTAAACTCAGTTGAGAACAGTTCTTAAGTGTAATTACGCTAGTAGATGACGGATAGTGATGATTACTTTGTCCATTTGGTGATCTTTCGTACTGATGGGTCGAAGACACAGTGGGTGAATAAGTGCTTGGAGGAGATCCCAATTGAGTAATAATTGTTGAATTTGGCGGAGAATACAAGCTGTATGAGTAATTTGGATAGTGACTCTCATAACGAGTTTCACGTATCTCTCTTATTTCTCGAATTTCACGGATTTCCGTGGTATGGGGAATAGTGTGTGGTGGTGAGGACGAATACACAGACACCGCATTGGGTGCTGGCAGTTGCTGGGGTAATGGCAGTAATGACGGCAAAGGAGTTAAATTCGAACTTGAGTCTGGGCTGCAAGCGTTGCCATACCTTTGGCTCTTTTTATAAGAATACGCCATTTCAGTCGGCGAAGAAGGTGGTGGTGTGGCGTTTGGTTGCCGACGGCTAGGATCGTTGTTGTTGGTATCAATTCTATTCCCTGTTAGTATGGTTTCCAAAATTCGAGTGTCCGGTGGAGAATATCTCATAAAAGCTGGTTGTGGAGTAGGCGATACCGTGCCATCCTCGTAATATGGTTTATTCAATGGCACCACAGTATTTTGAGACGATTCTAGTACAATGACAGTTGAGGTAGCAGGATCACGCCGCGGTGGTGACAAATTCTGAGGTAACACGTCGGTCACTTCTTCGGCAATTATCAATTCTTTTTCACTTTCACAATCCATATCCTTGTGATTCTGATATTGGTATGCTCTAGGCATTTTGATTTTGACTTTTCTGTATTCATTACGGTGCATGTCCTGGTCCATTTTTTGAACTATGACAGTTTCTTTAGGTTCATTTGTTTTATTAGAACAATCCAATACATAGTTTTCCACATCAGAGTCACTAGAATCTTCCGGAGGAGTAAATTCGTCATGATAGCCATTGCTGTGGTAGCCTTCATCCGATCTAACAGAGCCGTCGTTTGGAGTCAGTTGGTGCTCATAGTGAGGTGCACTGCAGTGGGTTAGATTGGGAGATTTACTTCCCAACTTTTCGTGATGGTTTTGTGACATAGGAGACGGTCCTCGCATATCTCTAAAGTGTTGATTTTGGGCAGGTGATCGACTGCCGTGAATTCTAGGATTATCCATTTGATGTATTACCACATGTGAGGTACTTTCTTTGTGTTGATGTATAATTAAGGTTGGATTTTCCCTGTGATGAATTTTTACTGGAGATGGTGGTTGCATTAACCCGATCGGTGTCAAAGGACGTTGTTCATGGAGAATCGCGTGTTCGGATTTATTGTGCATTAGGTTTGTGGAAATATCCGTTCTAACGACAGATCTTTCGTTCTTATTGATGGTACGTGACTCTTCACGCGGCAAGGCCGGAGCGCTGTCTTGATAGGTTTTATCAATGGCTTCACGTTTTCTTCGACGACTGGGTATTTCCGCTTCTAGTAATTCCTTGGTGTTAGTTAAACCGAGTACATATTTCATGTGGTTAAAGGCAATTTCGGGATGTACGGGTGCTGGCGGCAAACCGTAGGCTTTTTTTATGGTTTCTTCTTTACCTGTATAAATAAATTATGTTAAAAATTATGTTCCTCTTAAAAGTTATGCTAGAATCCTGATTTCCACTGGAGTATAAATACTTACATATAGAATATGTTGCTCTTTCAGGATCGATGTCGTAACCTAGTCTGGTTGCAAAATCTTTGCAATACCAAACCATCAACTCTTCGTTTGGCATGATATCTCTGAAAAGAAAAAAATAAGCATGTTAGAAGTGAACCCTTTTTTTCTGAATTTTGGCACTTTAACTGTATTTAAAAGTGTTGTGCGGAATGCAGTGATGTGAATTTACCTGATGGTATAAAAGTATATGTGTTCTTGGTGCTGGCATGCGACCAAGTTCATCACGGACAAGGAGTAAGCAGAGGCAACGTAGCGCATCCAGTTCGCTACACTCGTGTCCGATCCGTCCAGGTAATAGTAGTCACTGTCTTTGAATATCTGCAAGCACGACCATAATTTAACATAAACTTGAACTATGAAAACACTAGTACTAGTATAATAGGAAGTAGTTTACACGGGATATGTTGTATGTGCACTGTTTTAAGTTTAACATACGGAGGTTTTATTCAAATTGTTGTTTTTATTTATCTAGTGTAAAGAAGGAACACATGTGATAGAGAGCACGTGTCACGTGCAGGATATTTACAATGCGCGTGCAACTGATAGCGCGTGTTTACATTATACATATACTTAGAAGGAGTCAAGGACAAGATGCAATGTCATTATTGAATGTAGAACGAGTAGATAAGCGTGTTTCAATAATTAGCTCAGTATTGTGTCGTCTAACATAAGAAACCCGGAAATAATTACATAAATAATGTTTACATATGTAGAAAATATTCGTTTCTTATTACATACCCGAAGAATACATAGTTAAAAGAGAATTCATAGAAATAGTAAAACCGTCACCTGAGAAAAAACGAAAGCCTAATCTCACCTTGATGTTTCCATACGTATGATGCCTGACAGTTTCTTGTACCTGGCCCAAAATAGAGAGGAAGTTGTTAGTTAAAGACAAGAGTGCAACTAGCTTTAGCAACTTATGACAGTAAGTCTAAATTCGTGTTAGTGCTACGGCTTCGATTGCGGGTGGACTGATAGATTTTTAGGGTAATATTTACAAGGACCGTAACCAAATTTTGTAAAAAAATGGTGTGGATTTGAAGATACGAAGCCTAGGAAAAGTGACAGCCTAGTTTAAAACAATCGCTAGTGGATGGCTTACCCTCCAGTAGTATCTCCACGAAACTTTATCATTGGGCTTGTTGGGCGTACGGGTGCCCTCAAAAGGCCCAAATCGTGTGCCTCGAGGGATCACTCCTATGCTCCACACACCTTCCGTCTGTAAACATAAAAGCCTTTATAGAAACATTGAAATAACTAAAATTTAGATACTCATAGACCAAGTGTTTTACATTGTAATTGACTAAATCGATATCATGAAATTCCTAATATCAATCAGTTAATTAACTTTCATTATGAAAGAATTTAATTAGGAATTTTAATTACTACTTTATGTGGAGTCATTTAGTAGAGAAATTTTAACGCAGATTTCATTGCTAGTTTTAGTTTAATGGTGTACGTACCGGAGTGTTGGGGGTAGATAATACTGCTGAAGGTCTAAGGGCCAAGCTGCGGGGTAGAGTCTTCTCGGCTCTGTTGGGGGTTCCGCGTTCGCAGGGCACGTCAGGCACGATGTAGACAGTGAGTCTCTCGAACTCTTCTTCACACATGCGCGTGACATCGTAGCCGCCCGCGCCGCTCACCGCGCTCACGGCTGCAGCGCTCTCCGGGCTGCTCGTGCGCCCCACTGTCGTGCTCGGCATTTCCTCGTTCGTCGACTGTTGATGATACAGCAGCAGTTTAACATCGTTCAGACACAAGTTGATGCAAACAGCTCTCATCGTTTAATATTAAAAGAAAAACTAAGCGGACAACAATAACACCGGCGGAGAAGCATTCTTTAGACCCGAAAATATGCAAAGTGATGTCGCAGTAAAATGCATTTCTCCTCCAGACGAAGCTGCAATTTTAATGTTGTTCTACTTTGAAGGCTATATACATCAAGGCAAGGTTTATTTTCGGTAGGAAGAGGCCATAGCCGCGGTTCGATAAAGGGGCGGCGCCACTACTGACCCAGTTTTGTGATAAGTGCGCACTTTCCATTGCGCACTAACACTTCCCCCTTTGCCTATTTATATTTTTAGTACAAAACCAAAATATCGTTACACAAAATGAAGGACCTCCTTTATACAACACCTATTACACTTATACTGAACAATTTCAACTTCTTGTTTATGTACTTAGCTACGCAAGATTGTAAAATTATATTGCACTTACTAGTCTCATTTTGTGAGAATTTTTGTCTTCTTAATTGAATATTCCAGTGTTCATTTTCTGCAAATGTACCTGTAAAAAATATTTCAAATATTAGCAAATCTTTCGGAAACACAGTCAGCAATCATTGATATCGAAATATATTTGTTGACGTTGCTCTGAAATTTTGCCAATTGGCAATGTGCACGTGGAACACGGAACAGGATTAAGGCACGTAGAGTCAACAGTTTTTATATGTAGCAAATAACTGCAAGGGCATTCCGAAATAAACAAAAGTTACGACTGCAAATGTTTTGCTGAAAATAATTGTAATGAGTAATGGACAAAATAAATGCGAATGTATATAGTTGCTGATATCCGGATACTTGAATCTCCTTTGAATATTTACGTTTTGAAATTAAAAGCACGTTCTTATGGAAACATCGGTTAAGCAATCGCCAAGTTCAACATTTCATTGCATAATTTGTCGGCAGCGGTCCGACGACTGCTCTCGGTAAGAATGAAAATTTGTTTCCAAACCGGGCCCATTTGACATTCAAATTGTTGCGCAAGCGTCGCTTGAGCGCGCTATTGTAAACATTACGCGCTGCATTTGTAATGCATTTATGTATGCCTTTTGTGACTGCAGTTAAGCGTCAAAAATTAGACATGGGCCTCTGATTGTTCAATTTTTATTACTTTTATTCTCGGACTTTCTTTTTTTACTAGTACACCACTGACTTTAGTTAACACTTACTTTTCAGAGAAGTGAAGCTTGACATTAATAGATTTTGAAAATGTTTACAATTATGTAGTCTCAGTCAATAATAATAGTTTGGCAATGACGTGGACAAATCGGGCCTGACACGAATGACGCGCAAGTGAAATTAATATTGATGAAGATTAGACACAAGCATAATTACATTTATTGTCGGGGCCGTCGACGAGCCAATCCGATAAATCTATTATATTATACTTTATTTTTAAACAATTACGACAGCTGTGTAGGTATGGCATTGAGATTACGAATATAGACATGTGCTGATGGGAAAATATTTATATTTTGGGTTCGTGTGTTTGAATTTACGTAACATACGCAACGATTTTACAAAACACAATATTTAATTTTATAAATGAAAGTGATTTTATAATATTAACAGTTACAGTTTGAAGCAGTAGTGCACTTTAGATTACGTAAGGGTTTATTCACAAACGCAAGGCATGTGAGTGATCGGTAGGCTCTCGAGATGATTACGGTGGGGCGAGAGGCGTGCGGGGGTCGCATGCACGTGATTTCTGTTTCATTGCGCAATGGCATCCGGGGCACGCGACTCGCACTTACTGCCGCCGTCGTCGTACCCTCGCAGACCTGACACTGCCTTAGGACTTCTCGCGGGTATCCGCGGCATATCCTAAACGATCGTTTTTTGAACTTTCACATTTTCATGTGAATTTTACGTCGACTTCTCCTTTATGTCTTAAAATTTTATTAATATACATTTAATAGAGAGACATGTAACGTTCAGTCGTATAAATATTTCTTATATATTATATTGTATCCAAAATTTAAAAAAAATAAACACGTTTTCAATTGTTTTGGAACGGCAGATTATAATAGGTCAACTAAAACCTCTCTACAAATGTCATATTAAATATATGGGAGCGTTTAGAAATTTTAACATTTTAATGTTAAAATTTCTATACTACTAGTTTTGTTTTTGAAAAGTTATTGATGTCGATTTACCTATTAGGTAAAGTACTTTCGATGTCAGTTTAAAGCTTTTTGATATCTATAATATTTGTGAAATAATCGCCTGGGCACATTTAACGATTACACCCTGTGTATACTTAGTTTAAATATTCTCGCTGTTGGCAATGGTAATGGTACAAACACAATAAACGATTTTGTAGACGTATCGGAGCTTATAAAAACTGTTATTTCTCCACTCTCTATCGCGCAAGTGGTTTTTTTTACAACCACTCGAGGAGAGGTTATTGATCTTTGACAGCAATGTATAGCACAATTGAACTTGGCGGATGGCAGGGAACGAGCTAATTGTACATAATGTACTTTAAATTCCATAATGGACGGGAATATACCAATATAATAATTAAATTGGCTTTCCTAGTTATTATTGAGTAATTAATTGCAGCAGTTTATTTAAAGTCTTAACAAAATATAATTATTAATATTAACAAAATGCTAAAAGGAAATTTTTGTGCTTGAAATAATTATTGCTCCTGAAATTATTCAACTCTGCAAAATATTTATGAATTAATAATAACAGAATAACGTAACGTACTCAACATAACCCCGCACTAGGGAAATCCTGTGTCGCGGGTGCCATAGACACAAACATAGACAACCACAAATTACACGAAATTCACGAGAGAAATAAATGTAGGCCAAACAAATATTTCTCCCGGCCCGGGAATCGAACCTGGTACCTCTGCGTGGCAGTCCGGCAAAGTTCGGCCACAGAGGCAGTTAATCTGCACAAGTTAATTTTTATCAACTTTTCGTCAACCGTGTCTTATGTTTTTTTTTAATATCGCGTGACAGGGCCAACAAGTTGTACGCCTACTGGTAAGCGACACGCCTGTACATAACACTTGCAGTGACATCCAGATTTTAAATCGCAAAGGTCTGAGGGGCACTGCCGCTGTGCCCGTCTGAGACATACGTTGGAAAGTTCCTTATGCCTGTAATTTCACAAGCACCGTTACCATTCAATACCTAAATGCTGTAATGTTAACATTACTGCTCGGCGGCAGATATATGTAAGGTGGCAGTACTTTCCTAGACGAACTCTTTCACTAGAAGCTCTATTGCTGCTAAATCTTATGTGTAATATATAAAATTTAAAAGTTGCTCTTAAAAGCGGTTTATGTTCGATATGTGTATAGATAGAATGCTATATTTTTATATTTATGTATATTTATATTTTTTATATATAAGCTTTTAATACAAATTGAAATGTGTCGGTAATGTCATGCGTTACGTAGTTGACGCGCTTCGGCGCGCGCGCACCAGGAAACAACCTTGGTGCAATGCGGCGATGCGCTTGCGCACTTGAACTTGCCCTTTGCGCAGCGATTGCCGCGCCGCCCGCCCGCTAGCGCGGTTGGTACAACGCCGTGTGCATTCGCGTCCACTGATTAAGCTCAATTGAATAAATATTGTTTATAGTTATTCATTCATTCATCTCAGCCAGTTAACACCCACTGCTGGTTATATGGCCTTTTCTTTTGCATGCCAGCTCAATACTAATAATTAACAATATTTTTGACAAAAGGCTATAACATTCGCTTTCACCTTCTAAGTATACTATTTACTGCTGCAATACAATAACTTATGTACACTAAGAAACATATAACAACGAAAGGAGACGTTTATTATACTTTTGTAACTAAATAGTGTGATACAGTACTCAAAAATTAGAATTGTGCGCTAATGAACGTTTCTATATAGCGTGTCAGAATAAGAAAATTTTGGGTATGTAATAGAAATACAATATGCTTTGGTTTTCAGTGCCAAATAACGCAAGGCCAAGCATGTTGATTCCGCCGCCGGGATGCACTGGCCATATATCCCGATATTGGAGAGCCGCCGCTGCTTCAAAACTATAACCTTGTGGCTAATAATAATCTAATACGCGGATATATTTTCACTGCAACTAGATAACATTTATGTATTTGTAGCGAACGCGGAATTTACACTGCCACTGATAACGATGTGATGGTCACAGCACCGAGCATTTAATCTATTTCAAAGACGCAAATTAATTCAATGAATTTAAAGTCTAGAAACATGTTACCGTGTGCTAATAACATTTTTTTGTTTGGAAAATCAGTTGTGAATAATTGTCATATGTTAATCAATAAGTAAAACAACGAATAAAATTATTATTAAAATTTAAAATTCCGGGAGTGGTCTAATTACAGTTTGGTGGATCTGTTGTTTAAAATTAGTTTGCGCCTGTCTTAATTTTGTTCATAACTTGTTTTTTGTTTCTATATTACAATCCTAAATAACAAGTATAATGTCATTGCTTAAATCCTTCCTTCATGTAAATATTAGCCGTATATACTACTGCTATAATTTGAAGTGTATGAGTATATTTATGTAACATTTGAATATACATAAGGTTGGATGAATATCCCCAGAAAGAATCAAAACGTTTATACTTACAGTAATTTGTGAGAAACTATTCCTGACATTCTTGAAAATAAACTGTTCTATTTACAAAGACGGCGGTAGAATTTTGTATTAGTCTTTGGCGGAGATTTGAATGCGAGTGCGACGTCAAGTGACTTAAGATACTCGAGGAGTATGCGGAGCGCCAGCAATGGGACGAGAGGCCGCAGCCGGCGCCGCGCTCTCATGTCGGCTCAACCGGCGCAGCAGGCTGGCGCTGGCGGTGCGGGGTACCCGGCGACGTCAGCGCGCGGGATAACTCGCGGCAGCGGGAGTGAAGCTAGGCCGTGCGCGCCGCGCGAACACGGGGTGCATTATGCAACGTAGTCTCAGCCCGCCGACCTGCCCCACGTCTAGCCGCGGAGCGCGTCGCACTAACTCGACGCCGATGTGCCGACCGACCTAGATGCACTTTTACGACGCCGAGAATGCAATCGACACACATATTCGCGTCTCGTTCCGATAAACGCATCGACGACGAAAGCGGCCTGTGATGGAAAATGCGGACAAATTTGACAGCAAATGCAGTGAGTACGTCACGTTCGCGCCTAGAGTTCTCCTATTAGATTGGAGCGAGACAGCGCAGCGCAGTGCGACCGCGTGGTGCATTCAAGTTCATTACTTCCGTAGTGTGGCGGCCGCGACGAGCCCTGACCGTGCTCCCGATCCGGCTAACGCCGCCGGCGGCGGCCGCAGCTTTCCTTTGCCCGCCTCATCATCGGTTGTCATCGTAGTCATTCATGACTATTGACACTGAACGAATTATATTAAGTTGGTTAAAAATGCTATTATTACTTATTTTTTTCTAATTTCACATACTGATTTCTGAATCTTTGATCAATATACACGTATATATATTTCAAAACTTGAATAAAGTGTCCATACACTAATGTAAAATTAAACGAAAAGACTGACTGAAACTTTACGTACACCACTAAGAAAAACAAACAATTAGCAAAATAAGTTGTTTGGTTGATTTGGAAAACTGTATTTGCTTGGAGTAAAGTGGTGCAATTAAAACAAGTTGAAAACAAGGTGCGGCGTGGCGTGCGGCCGGTACGGTAGCGAAAGCATGGGCAGGCGGCGGCAGGGGCGGGCGGCAAAGCCACCCCGGAACACGCTTTCACTCTCGCGGGTCGTCGACACAGCCTGCACCCTCCCGTACCACCAACACTCGATACGTATTTAAATCCTTTAACTGTTAAACACCTATTAGCTCTAATTTCGAGGGACTCTACGTAACGTATTATAATGTGTAAATTAATGCAATTACCAACTATAAATTAATAGATAGTTTATGATTATCTTTGTAACAACGATGATTGCTTGGGTAGTTATGCTAACTAAAATAATCTCTTCAAAATATTCGAAAATGTTCTCTACGTAAACAAAACGTTCAGGAGAGAGGCTCAGCAAAGACTTATTTCAGTGGTAGGGAGACAGCACTCGCAGTCCTCCGGAACGGCGCACCCTGCCGCCTCCCATTATCCAATATTGATTTCACTATTTACAGCCTGTAATCTGTTAACAGCTACAAACGACTGCCATTGTAGTACCAAACCACTCTTACAGAAGTAGTAGGAAATGCTAAATGCTTTCTTATAGTGGTGTATGACTACGAATACTAATATAATATATATAATAATATAATAAAAAAGAATTTAATATAATACCCTTTTCATCGTATATGCATATTTTTTCGATTAACGTTTATCGTTATCTTTCTTCAATCCCATGCAACCAATTACTTTATTTTTAATGATTCTTAAAAATACACAATTCACTTTTCCTAAGTGGTTTCCGATCAGTAATATAAGTATGACGTACGTTGCGTTACTCTGAAAACCAGGGCGCGTGACCTGCCCTAACGTCTGCCTGCTTCGGCTTGCTGGCACCCTCGCAGTCTCTATCGACTTTATTGTTTGTTTTGCTATACTTTCCGATAGCAGTATTTATAACCTATTGCCCAATCTTTTTAAAAATGTTTATGTCCACCTTCACCAAAGTTTAGTAAGTTTTAAACTAATGCTTAAATTGATAAGAGACTGGTATGGTATGGCAGGCTGATGTCCGCAACTCGACTTCCATGCGACTACGATATTTTGTCGTATTTTGCGTGTCAGAGACTACGATATATTGTCTTTTGCATAGCACACATTGGTTTAAGAAGTACTTAAGTTTAGTGCAAGTGGACACAAGTCTTATTAGGTTTCGTTCTCCAATTAGAACGCTTTTTGATATCTTGAATCTGTAGACTCACAGAAATCTTGGAGAAATTTTAATAATACATATATTTAAATTTTTCCGATTAGTGCATTGTTTTATAAATTTAAAATATCGGTTGTATTTGCCAATAACTCGTTAATATCATGTGATTGTATTGAAAAAGTTGAAAGCACATTAAAATAAAAAAAATAAATTGGCGGTCAATTAGAGCGTGAAAAGCAAAGCGCATCAGAGAAAATGCAGTTTTCCATTGCGGCGGAGGCTTGTGCGGTATCAAAACACTGAATCTTCCGGGGTGAACGGCCGCAGTGCCTCGTCCCACTGGCTAGCACCCGCCGCCCGGCGCCACTCGTCTCACTCGCTCGCGAATAAATCGCACGCTTCACGCTGTCGCTGCGCTCGTGTGCTCGGGAAATGCGTTCACTGTGCGAGTGCTACTGCCAAGTATTGGGCACAGGGTCATTGACATCACCACCAATTTCCTTCTTAGGCAGGCTTTGCTTGCTCACTGCGGGAAGCACAACTCGCTACGATAAGCATTGTTGATATACTTACATAATTAATATTTATTTTTGCTGTCTACTTTAAGAACCTTTGGTGCCTTTAAATTTCTGATTAAAGTATTTGATTTCTATTTGACATTTTTTTGGAAATATAAAAAGAAAATCGAGATTGATTTAGATTGAGTATGTTCACTTGAGCGAACATACTCGTAAAATGTCGGAGAAAACTTAAAAGGCTCAGCAATTTGTTGGTTTTCAGGCCGTAGCAAGTAGAGACGGTAATTTTTCGATTAAATATATTACTAAATTCCGTATTAAAAGTCAAAATTGTTTCTTTCTTCTTGTAGAGATGACCATGTATGCTATAATTTGCATAGTTTGCATATTTGTGCTTATTTTTGTATTTAATATTGAAAAAGAGTACTTAAGTTAGGCTTGGTGTAAAGTTCGAAGGCTTAAGTACTATTGATCCTATTAAGTAAAATGCTTTGCGACGTAGGGCGAGCGTACATCTGTACAAGTGCTAGTGCCCACAGTACAAACTCGATTTCCCCCTTCTTGGGGTAGGCTTCAATGCTACTCATTCATGCCTTTTTCCCTGTCTAGCGGCCAGGGGTTGCATCGTTCGCTCCCGCTCGCGGTGCTTCCGTGTTGACACCATACATATGTGCATGCACTAGACCTAGCTCAATGCAGCGAATTTTGCGTAGGGTCGTTGTCCTCGTCTATATCTATATGAACCGATAATAGTTATAGCAGTATCCCGATAAAGTTGGCGAAATATTTAATCTCGTCTCCGGGAACACAGCCCCGATATACCCCGTTGCCTCACGGGCAAATGATTTTATGATCAACAATTTCACTTTTAGCGCAAAATGTGCAATTTAAAGGAAATTTCAGCAATTACCTTTGTCGGTACACTTAGATAATTGATGCAAGAGCAATAGACGTAGTTGCAATGCAGAGAAGACAAAGGTATTGAGAAACAACGGATCTTGGGGTTTTATGGCTAGTTTTGAGAAGAATAAAACGAGATGCGCTAAAAAATGCCATTTGCACAAATTGTACCCTCAAGTGTTTTGGCGAATTGTATAGGTTGGAATTTTTTAGTTTGTAGTTTTCAAAGAAAAGTAACAAAGCGACTGAAATAGAAAAAGTGCAAAAAAATGTAAGGGCGACGGTTCTCTGATTGTTTATTATACCTTAACCGTTAGAGATGGAAAAAACTATATTTTGTGTTTTTTACCTCGTCTTACAATTCAGTATTATACTTGTACCTTCGAGTAATTGTGGTTTAGGAAAATTACTTTAGGCAATTAGTTAGAAATATTTTAAGTTATTAAGATAATTCGTTACCCTAAATGCAGTTTATTGTTCCTTTCATACAAACATTTTAATCTCGAATGTTGCATTGCGAGTATATGCAATTTTAATATTCCATTTTGTCACCACACTTAAAAGTACGGTACTTAAACACACGCTAAGGATGCCGGATGTCGTCATACAATCTAAATAAATCGATGACTTAACGCAGTAAAGGTACAGTTACATGTAACAATGCATTATTAAAATAGATAAATCGAGTGCATAGAGGTGTGAAGTGGTAGACTAGAATGTGGTGAGGGTCAAAAGCCGCGCAGTATGTCAGTGCTTAGTATTCCGTGAGCCAGGCCCGGCCGGGTAACGGGACTCGCCGCGATCTGAACTGGCCTTTACTTTCATCGATCGGCCCGGTCGCTTCGCCGGTTTACTTTCCTTTGTTGGTTTTCGACATAAGTGTTATGCCCGAAATAATGACATCTTGTAATACGACTGTTAGATTGATGTACTCGTATTTACTGACACTTGATCGGGTAATGGTGCACTTTGCAACGAACATCACAAAAATTCACAAAATATTAACCTCTATCTGCTATTCTATTAATATGTTTGTAAGTGTCGTACGCCATGTACCTATGGCTTAGTAAAATTTATTACTTCTGTAAAACTCCAAAGAAAGTTTATTTTTATTGCAACGCTAATCCTCCAATAATGTAAATACGACTACGACAATAACATAGCTGATTATCCATGGTTAGCAAATAGCAAAAAACTTGAAAAGGTGGGAGCAAGTGTGGTTAAATCGCAGGTAGACAAAAATGCATTAAGGCAGGGACAACGGGCCTTTGTCAGGACGTACCGTTACAAGCAGTTGAGTCTCACCGCAGTGCAAGAAATATGATCGGCTATCGTACAACTGATTCCATATTTTTAAAAGGGTACCTATTAGATATTAAGAAAATTGGTCGACACCAGCAAGTCATTTTTCTTCCAAGAAACGTTTTGTTTTTTAATACTTTTCTTCTCGCTTCATAAACGTTTTGATCATAAAACTAGAAATGTTCTTATTTGTACTTTTTCCACATATTGAATATTTTAAGTAAGTACGCAATTCCTATAACTACTCGTCTCTATTTTTCGATAAGACACTTGCAGAATTTTTGCTGACTTTATCAGAAAGTTACCCATATGCGTAGGTGTTCATATTACCTCACACTTTAATAACAGGACTGCATCGAAATTCCCAAGAGCAGGTAGTATTCATCATGGTGTAGTGTTACGTACGCTGCCTAAGGGCTCGTACGGTATCTATGGGCGACTACCGTT